TATCTCTACTATACATGTGCTGCTATGTTACACGCACGCGACCACGCAACGGCTTTAGGTCATGAAGGACATGTTTTGCAGCGCAGTGTCCAGCTCATCAACCGCGGTGCTACTCACACCTTTCATGAAGGCAATCGCCGCAGAAGGATCCATCCACATAGCTCGCATATCCCACCTCTCCTTTGGCAGCTCCGGGTCAGGTTCCTCAATGTCCAGGAGCAAAGCCCTCACATGTGGCTGCTCGAACAGCTCTTCGCAAAGGTATCCGGGCGCGTCCTCCATTCCCAATCCACACAAACCGGCCTCCACACCCTCCATCTCCGCATCTCCGGCCTTCTGATTGGCCGCAAGCTCGCTCTCCTCCGACACATGTTTAATCCATTGCGCCGCCCACGCATGTCCATGCTTCTTCCACTCGACGTCAGGCTGCTGTTGGACCTTGTCCCAGAACTCACTAGCAGGGAAAGGGAGCTCAGGCACCTTCTCCATCATCTGCGCAACCGCCCGACGCATGGCGACGAGCTGCCATGAGCGCCATCGCATTACATCGTGATCCCCTTCTGGCCACAGCTTCAAAAAGGCCTCCCGTTCGGTGAAAGAAGTTGATTGCGACACTGCTTCTTTCCACGCGAGAACGAAGGCGTGGATGAATTGTTGCGCTGATCCGGGGCAGTATGCACCTAGGTCTTTTGACGCGCCTACGACGACGGCGGTCAGGATATTATATCGGACGACAGTGTGATAACGACTGAAAGAGTGCGACTTGTCGATTTGCCAGTACCAGATCGCTTTGACGGCGTCAATGTCTACGCCTGGCGTCTTGATGGCCTTGAAATCGGCGGCCAGAACCGCGTTGTAGTTGGCAAGTAGATATTCCAGCTGGTACTGCTCTGGTATACTCGGGACGTAGATGGTAGGTGCCTTGGTGTAGTACTCGTGGATAGTAGGGCGACTACCCGATGCGAAGATGCGCCTGGGGACACGCGCGAGCTTGATCTCGAGCAGTCGGGTGGCCTTCCGGTGGAGTTCGAGAGTTTGGTCCTTCGTAAGCGCCATGATGTACCTATCGATTCAGGTGTTGTCAGGGGGTGTTGTTAAAGAGTAGATAATCGGAATAGATTCAAGAGAGGAAGTCAAAATCTGGCGCACTGAGATAGTTGATATTGTCGAGGTGAGCGAGAATCGCGCGCGTTTGCACTTAGGCAGCCGACTCACCCTCACTTTCGATCAAGAAATGGCGTCACCAGCGATTTTTCTTTCGCGCGAGCAGCTCGCCTTCACCTCGATTCGGTATCATAAAATCAATTTCTATCGGCCTTACCAGCTCTGCTTGTTACAATCTACACACCTATCTTCCCTTCCCTTCCCCAAGATGGCGCTTACCAACCAACAACTCCTCGACCTGCACACCAAAGCCGGTCACCTCCTCAAACACAAGCTATCCAAGCTCAAGATCCCCGGCCGCGTGTTCCCCTCAGGCCGTCTCCCCACCCTCCGCGACAGCTACGAGAACCCGGAAAGTCTACATGTCCCTACCATCCCTCCAAACCTGCAGCTCGACTTCGTGTTTGCCAACTACAACGACTTCGCCGCCGCCAACTTCCTCGCGCGAAAGAACGATCAAGACATCAAAGTCTGCATGGCAACATGGCATTGGCAGCCCAGCGAGACACAGTCGTTCTCAAGTTGGCACAAGGAGATTCGTTTCAACGTCCTCCTAGCCCATGTAGTCCTCAACACGCCGCATGCGCGCAAGTTTCTCGCGGAGAAGCTCGTTGTATTCCTCGAACAGTTCGTCGGCGCATGGCTGGAAACGGCGATGCATATCGAGTACGATGGGAAAGAGAGGCGCGACTACTGGATCGCTCGGCTCTGGCGCACAAGCCAGTACGATCTGGTACATTGGGGCAAGCAGGCTAGGGGCCGAATGGGTGAGGCGGTGAAAGCGCTCGAAGAATGCGTTCCACCGCAGAAATACGCCACGGACGACTTTTGGAGCGTAGCCCGGCAGATGCCAGCGGAAGAGTACCAGAAACATGGATCTGCTTGGGCTATGCAGTTCATTATCTACAAGGAGAGGAAGGAGAAGGTTGTGGCGAAAGAGCTTCAAACTGAACACACGCAAAACCAGTTCTCAAAGGGCAACTTCATGGGCTTTAGTAGTCTCTCTGTCGACGAGTCGGTACCAGAGTACCTCTCGGAAGAGCTGTTCAATCGGCCATTGGTGAAAGCTCTTTTGGTGGATGTACGCAACATGCAGTTGCAGATGCCTGAGAAGTTCGCCGGCTGGTTGGATCCGCAGAAGGCTATTGAGCTCATACAGGATAAGATGGAGGGCTTGGAGGACGTTACGGAGCAGATCAAGAACATGTCTTTTCTGAAGGCGTAGGCCTTGAGACTGTTGGTAGTTACCTCGGGGTCATAAGAACGGTCGAAAAGTACCCACGTAGTGTCATGTAGGCTCGCGTTACTGTATTAAACCTTGACTTTTAGAAGTGCTAGGCGCCTTGATCCGATGGTAAGATAGTGAAGCAGGAGCGATGTAGAAATATATCCCAACAGAGCCAATGAGGGAACCGCACACCACACTTTTAAGAAGGAGTACACGAGCCATGAAGCAGCAGCGCAGCAGCGCTTGCCCACGCTGTAGCTGCAATGTAGTAAATCTCGTTCCGAGTCCTGCTTCCTGTTCTTTAGCACCCACAAGAAGGGAACAGGTACGTGCACATTTCGTTTCCAAACTGTAATTTGGCTTTAGCGTGCTAATAATAATGTATTTATGTAGCTATCAACACTAGAATCTCGCGAAAATGTTCGCCTGGCTCGACTGGAATCAAGTCGCCAACAAATTCCTAGGCGACTGCATCGCCGTCATGATTGGCCTGTTTCTGGCCTTTTTGCTGTGGCGCTTCGGCCCTGACAGGCTGTGGCTGAGGTTGGGTGGGGCGCTCGAGCGTCGCATCCTGGGTGCGATGGTGAGGGAGGCGATGAGGGAGACGGAGAGGGAGATGGAGGCGGAGCGGGAGGAGATGCGGGAAGTTTTGGCGCGTCTTCACCGTGAATTGTGATTTCCTTCCTTTTCGTTAACTCAATTGCACGAAGATAACACGCATACATCTTATCGCTATTTCTTCGGCTCCAGTTGTCAGGTGACCCTCAGAAGCTCATCGTATCTATCAAGGTGGTGATTCCCAGATCTGGCTGAGTCACAGCTACCGCCTTCCACTCTAGCCATACAAGACGTCATTCACAGTCGAGTGATGTCGCAACCACTCAAACGAACCCATCGCTTCCGCAAGATCTTCGCAACGCTTCCGCAGAACCTGAGTTACTCACTCGATTATGTATGTAACCACTACTGAGACTATTAAGTAGACAATAAGATTAGATAATGCAGCCCAAAGCCATACTCCAGATTCATCGCACGTGTCCACGATACTGCGATGATTCATTGCCAAACAGCTACCCATCACTCCTAGAGCTCACCTCATACCTGTAATCAAGCACCAATAATTCAAAGACAGAGCTAGATCATTTTCAGGCCTAACCTGTGCGAGTCGACCTTGAGAGTACCCCAGAGTCTACATCAATGTTGAATCACTCACTTTGCATGGTTTTATTTTATTGTAGGCTGCAAACTAGTCAGGATTTTAGGTGGGAGGTTCGACCCGGACTCTAGGTTCGGTTACTTCTCATTCGCTGCAGGGTTGCACATGCACATACACAGTTCTTTGGTAGCGAATACTGCCCTGGGCAGGCTCGAGATACAGAAAGACTCTACGAGCTTCAACGAAACACACTTCTTTCAACATATTGCAGCCCATCTAACCTTCCCAACGCCGCGACCATGCCGATCATCAATCTTGGACCGTTCGGACGCTACCGTCTCTCAAAGCTACACGACACAGCCGAACAACAAAGTCTACTAGAGGATAAAAAATGTCCAAAAACTGGTGGCACTGCCTCAAAGTCACTTCCTTCTTATACATCACAAGGTGAAAACTGCGTGCCTCTGGGCTTACCACCGAAGGAAATAAGACACTGCGCTCCTCCCAAGGCTCAAAAGCCAAATAGTCAAGTTCAGCAGCTGCAGCGATACATCCTCGAAATCCTCGCGATTACTTTCTCCGCAAATTTCGACACGCTCAACAGGGCTCTCCAGGATTCAACATCAGAAGGCACTACTACAATCCTCTGCGACGAAGAGCGATCGGAGCTTCTGGCGCTATCGGGTCTTGTACGCAAATGCCACGATCAGCTACATCGCGTTCCGGAAATTCGTATCGAGGCCAAAGACGAGATGACACTAAGCGACAAGATCTCCCAGCCCGGTCTGCAACTAGAGTACAACCTGAGCGAGTACGCCTTGGAATTGATAGAATGGTACGGATCCTACACTCGTGCGTGTGGGAATAGCCACAGCTGGCAATACACGATACCTGGCTATTGGGAGAAGAACCCTACGATGGGTTTCAACAATCTCAAGGAAAGCATGCGTACGTTCTCTCTGATCATAGAGCACACGGCGCCTAGCCAGCATGTTTTCGACATTCTGCACGAAGCATGGGATGTCTGCCGAGAAAATCGCGGACTCGAATGCGAATACGAATTCCTAAGGAGCAGCAATCCGATCTACTGGGCTAGACGGAACGGATATCATCTCATGGGATCGATTCTGTCGCTGTATATAACGACGCTTGAAGTTGCGGGCAACGCGCCGGTGAGGCCGCGATTTCTGTGCGGAAAGCCACCGCGATTCCTGTGGAAAGCCACCTGGGGAGGAGGTGGTCGGTAATGGATATTTTTGAGTACAATAGATCTGCTGCCAAGCAGCCTTCATAAAACGCCGATCAAATGTAATACATGCCACTAGAATTTTATGCTCACCTCATACATGAACAGACTGAACGGTTATGAACACTACATGGATAACATGCAAAGTGGGGGATCCAACATCGATGTAGGCTCCGTGCTCGTCGTTAAGTTAGCATTCCATGCCGCTACCGTCCTCCCATCTCCATCTCCAGCACCTCCAACCCCACATCCAACGTACTAATACTCAACAACGTCGCCAACTCCAACACCTCCATAATCTCCTCCTTCGTACCCCCATAATTCAACACATTCCGCATATGCAGCTTCAGCCCCGGTTTATACATATGCGTCGCCGCCGTATCAAACGCACAATATATCAGCTCCTTGACCTTGGGTTCAAGCACGCCCTTGCCCCCCTCGTTCGTCCACGGCACAGAACTAAACTCGGTGTACGCGTCGAAGAATTCGGGTGCGATGAGCAGCATCTCCTCCCATAACGCGTTCCAGTACCCACGCTTCGTCTCGAAATCCTGCTTTAGTGCGAGTTGCTGCGGGCTCATGTTCGACATGCCTTTTGGCATGGCTTCGCCCCGCTCTTCGAGGACTTCGAAGAGGATTGGGACGCCGACTGTGGAGGCATGGATGCCGAGGGTGGATGTGAGACACAGTGTTTCGACGATTTCGGCGCGGGAGGCGCCTGCGGATAGGGCGGCGCGGGTGTAGCGATGGATGTTGGGGACGTGGAGGTGGGTTGATGATGCGCTTACGGCGAGGGAGATTAGGGACTGGATTTTGGGTGATAGATGGCTGCTTCGCTTTGGTATGGCTGTTAAGCGGAGGGATGCTGCGAACATCTCTGGTGAGTGTTTGAGCATCCGCGCCCAGGATTCGTCGTAGGCTGCGGAGCCGAGCTCGGTGTCGAAGCGCTCTTTTAGGCGCTGCTGGTCTGGTGAGAGAGACATGCTTTGTGATAGTATTAATGTTTCACATCAAGGTTTTGAGTAATGATGAGTGTATGAACAGTTCGCTCAGAGAGCTATTGGACGTCATATAAGATATCGGCATTGGAACATGAGCGCGAGTAGTATTTGTTTTGCTATTTCCGAGGATGCAGTCTGCGTTGCTCTGTCTGCCGCACCTCAACCCGGGTATCCGAGGATGGTTGATAGTGGTGGTGGTGAGCCAGCAAGCCCCACATTTCCCCAACTCCGTTGTGTGGGGAAGCGCAGGGATCAGCACACCACCTGGTGGCCGAACGAGAAGGATTACAGCTGTAGCGAGTAAGCTGGGATTCCCCATACTGCGAGTCGACAATGTGGCAGGTGCGAGAGGCGGTCGGTATACCAATATCCTGTTCAGAACAATTGCTAGGTCATGTCTTGAACGATAACGACTAACCATCCATGCTTTGCTCCGCGCCGAAGAAGCGCGTCTTGTTCTTTGGATCGCTTTCCCACTCGACGTCGTGTGCAAAGATGATCTCGACGCCGTCTCTCTCTAGGGCTCTGATTCTGTCAATCGTCGTCTCAGCTTGCTTTCTGTCGGCATGTATGCAGCAGACTTGTCCATGAGCATCGTTCCACTCTCCAATCGATTTCTCGCCAGTCAACAATCGTCTGTCGTGACATGCATCTCCGCCCATGTAAATTTGGTGATCAGGAGATGTCCGAGCAAGAAGATTGATGTGTCCTGGTAGATGACCGGGTGCGTTGACGATGAGCAGTGAGCCGTCATTGAAGACATCCAAAGTCTGAGGGAGGTTTCCGTGCGTTTGCCAGGAACCACCGAAGTTGACATCGCCCGTCGCCCTGCATGAGTCGTGCTTCGTCAACACGTTTGCCGAAGGTTCCGACAGTCCAATGGTCCGCTCTTCTGGCAGAAGATCACTTTCGAAGAAAGAATGGCCACCGCGCAAAGACGACGATGTGCCATTAAGCAAGGCAAGTGAGCCATGACCGACGACGAACTTAGATGTGGGAAAGTCTCGAGGTTCGCCAATATGATCCCAATGCACCTGCCGTAGCCACGTTACTTACCGTCAGTAAAGCGAGGTCGTGTGACTTACGTGCGAATAGATCACATAATCGATATCCTCGGGTGCTAGCCCGCCTCTCGCGAGGCTTTTGGTGACGTCCGGATCGGTACTCATTGGTTGCCTCGTCTCGACATGCTTTTGTATTGGTGGCGCGTATCTCTTGATGTCTCTCCTCAGGCCTAGATCGAACACGATTCGTGTCGTCTTCTTAGTGTTTTGATTGTAGTGCTGTATCAGAAATGCTAACGAAGGTACGGTCCGGCGTGCATCTCGACTAACAGGGTGTACGAATTGGTACTCTGGAAGAGAAAAGTGACCACACGATAACGCGTGCACAGTGACAACGGCCGCCGCTGCATGGTCGGACTGCTTTTGCGAGACAATAGCAGACATTTTTCAAGGATGATGGAGCTTTTCGTAGATGATGTTGTCTCAAGGTTGCAAGACTATGGCTGTTGAGAAGGATAGCCTCAGGTGGAGATGGCACGTGAGATCATCGTTCAGCCTACCAAAGTACCTATGGGGGTACTAGGAGTTGGCGAAAGAGTGGGCAGGATTAGTGCGTCGTTATCCGTTGGAGAAATCTCTACCCCGCTTCACCAGCCGCGGCACGCTCACGACGCGTTCTGATGGTTGTGTTGACGTGACTTGTTTCCCAAAATTTCCAGGTCTCGTATACACACCAACTTCCTACTCGACGTTAGCTCTCTGTCGTTCCTGAAAGTACTCTCGGCTTCAAGTCAATCCCCTACCTCTACCTGGCACACGCATTCGTCATGACGCATTCGCACGAGTTTAAAAAGCTGGGCTTCATCGGCCTCGGGGCTATGGGGAAACCAATGCTTTCTCATCTTGCCAACAAGTTGCCTGAGGAATCGCGCATTTGGGTTTATGATGTGGTCGAACAGATGGTAGACGATGCGTGTGCAGAGTTTCCTGGTCGAGTCTTGAAGGCAAAAAGCGCCAAAGACGTTGCGCAACAAGTCGTGAGTCTAGACGCCATCGTGCGAAAATGGCAGCTAACGACGTGCCAGGACACAGTTGTAAGCATGGTGCCTGAAGGTGCACATGTACGATCCGTATATCTCGACCCCCAAAACGGCGTATGCAGCACCGACATCTCGAACAAGCTGCTCATCGACTGCTCGACAATAGACACGGCAACCAGCCTCGCTGTGAAGGACCACGTTGCCGCTGAGTTTCCCTCTGCGTCGTTCTATGACTCTCCGGTGAGTGGCGGCGTAGTGGGAGCCATCAAAGGCACGATCGCATTCTTTCTAGGGTGTGCAGAGTCGGACCCAAATCTTGAGCGCCTCACATATCTGATGGGGTTGATGGGTGGGCAAGTGATACCTTGCGGGGGTCCATCCCTTGGGCTTGCAGCGAAGCTGTCGAATAACTACCTATCGGGTATCATCGCCATAGCTTGCTCTGAGGCTTTCGACATGGGAATGCGCAGCGGACTGGATCCCCGCACTCTGGCCAAAGTATACGCTGCGGGTACTGCCCAGAACACGATTTGCGACAAGTTTTGCCCTGTCCCACATGTATACCCCGAAGCCCCGTCCTCAGGAGGCTGGAAGCAGGGATTCAAAGTGCAGCTGATGCGCAAAGACTTCGGTTTGGCAGTTGATATGGCGAAGCGAGTAGGGTCGAGAAACGTATTGGGTGACGTTGGACTACAGACATACGATGGGGCAGCCAACGATCCGCGTTGTAGAGATCTTGACTCGCGGGTGGTGTATCGCTACCTCGGTGGCCAGGAAGACTGGCAACCTAAATCGAACGGCGCGTGAGCAGCAACTTGGGCTGTGACACCCCATCGTCATCATACCCGATGTCGCTGGATCTCGATGTGCTGTGTGTGACTAGTCGCATTAGCGCCATGTTGAAGTTGGAGAAGGTTGGGGATGCTTGGGGTAATGCCGAGGGCGGGCAACCGTGGGATGAAGCTACTATCGCGGGGCAAGCATGCCAGTCTTGTTAGCTTTTTACAGTGCTAGTACTACAAACGCGCAGTAAAAAGACTATCGTCATTCTCATCCTGTGAATTCGTCTTGAGATAGACACCCTCTTTCACGTCAAAGCCGCAACAGCTGCCATCGCACCTCGAAGCAACCGACCGCCAGCATGTCGACCGATCCGAAGCTCGACGAGCTACACAAGCAGCTCTTCGATGAAGGGCTGAAGATGAGACGGAGTGTGGTGGGAGATGAATACGTCAATCGCGCGCTGGAGAACGGGTCCACTGAGTTCTCACGAGCCGGACAGGAGCTCGTCACCGAGATGTGCTGGGGATACGCTTGGACACGTCCAGGTCTCGACAAGAAGCAGAGAAGTCTGATCAACATCGGCATGCTCATGGCACTCAATCGCGCCCCCGAGCTTGCTGTGCATGTGCGCGGGGCGAGGAACAATGGTCTTTCCGAGCTTGAGATCCGTGAAGCCATCATTCACGCCACAACATACTGCGGTGTGCCGGCTGGGGTCGACGCGATGAAGACAGCTGAGAAGGTCCTGAATGACATGGCCGAGAAAGGCGAGATGCCGCGAGAACTGGGCGAAAGGAGCAAGAAGGCGTGAAGATTGTTGGCTTGTGACGATGGACAGAAGACGCGTCGCCTCGCGTTGGACTGTGGCTGGGGCAAGTGGCACCCGGGATCATCCGGCCCGGGCAGGGACGAGTTGTTCGACAGTGATCGTAGCAATACCACCATTCTCCATACCTTGCTTCTGCGCAAAAGTGTCAAAACAACATCTTCCACCTTATACATTCTATCAATATGCGTGCATCCCGGGCTGTGGGTACATGTCACACGTGTGATTGGTGGCTTTCCCACCTCTTCCCAGCACCCCGCATGTGAACCGTCGCGTCCCCGCGCTTCATTCCTTTCCCCACAATCTCACGACCCGACTTCGTGAAACACGACTTGCAGTCTCCAAACTTCGTCTAAGTGCTCAGGCTGCTCCAAAACTCGGCTATCGCCTGCTAAGCCGGTCGCAATTGGGCCCTGTGTGAGCGAAAGCGTCGCGATTGGTTTGATGGAAGCCGGTACCAGTGAAGAGCAGGTCCCGCAAGCTCAACCGGGGAAGAAGGAAAAGCGATTCCAATGTCCACACTGCCAACGGGCCTTTGCTAGGCTGGAGCATCTCCAGCGTCATGAGCGCATTCGTAAGTCGTGCGACTCGCGTCGTAAGCCAATTCTAATATGCGTCAAGATAGCGGTGTGAAGCCCTTCAGCTGCGCAGCATGCAACTATTCATTCACACGCAGGTATGATACGTCCAGCGTCGTTTACGGCAGCAGCTAAAAGCTCGATTCAAGTGACCTGCTCGTTCGCCATGAGCGACTCACTCATCGCAAAGAGCAGAGTACACAGCCAAATCACCAGCATACTCCCGCTGGAGATACATATGGCTCGGTCGAGACTCGGCCGCACAAGCGCATGCGATCAAGTTTCGATGCTGGGCGTCCAGTGCCCGAAATACCCAGTATGATGTCCTCGCCTGCTGTTTTGGACATGCAATCGTCGCTACAACAACCCGCAATGTCACACGCCTCTATGACCTTCGGGCATAACAGCCCCTACTCTTTGACAGCCTTGTCCATGGCTGCCGAGTATCAAGCTCTTCAAGGTAATATGGCAAACAGCTCCGCTCATGATGCGATGCCAACCCCAATGCCTTCGCATGCTGGCACGATAACCGCGAGTGTTGAAGGCCCACACTCAACCTTGCTCACAGAGCCGTCTGCTCATAGCTATGAGTCAACCTTTGGAGAGTCACTGGATAGTCTCACTTCGTTCCTTGACAGTGAACCACTAAATTCGTACCACTTTGCGTCCCTGATCAACACCGAACAGCCCATGCCGTTCTTCTCTCCAGACTCATTTGGCTACGGTCAACAAATGGCGACCGAGCCAGAGGGAACAACAGCGCCTACACATGGTTGGAGACCAACCCAATTAGAAGAGCCGCCGTCGCTTTCACGTTTCGGTTCTCGTTTCCCTTCCTTGCAGCCAGACGATCAATCCGCTCGGAAACGATCATTCGCAGATATCTCACATGAGGATCGGCAGGAAATTCTCGAGATGCTCCAGCCCTTCTCCATGGTCATACCCAGCGACTTCGTTCTACCAACTCGATTAGCACTGTGCAGATATATTGCTGCATATATCAACGGATTTCACGAGCACATGCCTTTCCTCCATATACCCACAATGTCCGTGGAGACATGTTCGATAGAGCTGCTCCTAGCATTGGCGGCTATCGGTGCGCAATACACTTTTGAGGGCGAAAAGGGTGTCGAGCTGTTCAATGTAAGCAAAGCAATTGCGACGCACCGTATCAGGAAACGGGATACGCGCTTGGTGCAGCTCCAGCATCATTCTGAGTCGGATCACTCGTCGCCCCACAATCATCCGAGCGACCCTCGTAGCCCTCAACGTAAGGGCTCCGTCTCGGGACCGCTGGGCCTACCTTCCCAGGCTGATGTCCCTGTACTTGGCGAAGATCTCATGCAGACCGCTCAGGCACTACTCTTGCTCATGGCACTGTGTACTTGGGCAAAACACAAAGAGATTCTCAGAGAGGCTTTAGCAATCCAAAGCATATTAGCTACCCTCATTCGGGATGACGGACTCGAAACCGATCCTCTCCATGAGACCATCTCATGGTCGGACTGGATTCGGCGCGAAACGATCAAAAGGACCAAGTTCATCGTCTATGGCTTCTCCAACCTCCATTGCATTGTCTACAACATTCCTCCATTCATGCTAACGAGCGAGGTCAAGTTGCCCTTGCCGTGCAGTGCCGCTGAATTCAAGGCTCCTACGGAGGCTTTGTGGAGGGAAGCGAGGAAGAAAAGTGCGCCTGAGGTCCTGTTCCAGGATGCATTGAAACGTCTGTTTACAAAGCAAGGCCGCGACGTCACCGAGGTCAACTCGTCATCTGGAAACTACGCATTGATACACGCCCTGATACAGCATGTTTTCTTCCTCAGACAAGTGGCCCGGTGTCGCTTTGAAGGACCCGGTGATCTGAGCGCAGAAGACGTCGCGTCGCTCGAAAATGCCCTACGAAACTGGCAGACCGGATGGCGCCAAAATCCTGAA